TTTTATTTGAACCGAAATTGAAATCGGTTCAAATAAAAAGATCTGCTTGTTGTTATCTTGCTAGGAGTTACCTTTTCTATTTAAAATGTTTTTTTCTTCTTTCTTGCATTTTTTTTTTAATCTTAGGAGTTGGCGATCCAAAGAGGCTGGCGTCGACCTGAATACACAATTTTAGCAGAGTCCGGTCCGCCACACCAGAGGGAGTTCACTGTAGCGTGTAGATTTGAGTCCCTGACAGAAAAAGGTGCGAGTTTATCTAAAAATGATCAGTTTATTTATTTTGTGTTATTCCTGTTTTCATTTCTGTCTCCTTCTGTGCTGCAGGTGTCGGAAGCTCCAAAAAAACAGCGAAACGAGTGGCTGCGGAGAAAATTGTGGCGAAGCTTCAGAGTTTGTCAGGCGGTTCAGAAATCACGTGGGTGAGTCAGAGATCACGAATGACCTTTTTTTTTCCTACGTCAAAAAACATTTTTGGAAAAGTTTAAGAAAATTTTGAACCTTTTTTTTCTTCCAGTCTCCTAAATCAGGAGTTCCGTTTGAGAACATCAGGAACTCGACAGCGGAGAAGATCTCCTTACTGAGGAGAAACCCGCTGAGCATTCCCAACACAGATTACATTCAGATGGTGTTGGAGCTTTCCAAAGAGCAAGGCTTTGAGGTCACGTACTTCGATATCGGTAAGACGACTGCATATCTTTTAAGGTTTTATTCTAGTCYGGATAATCAGACAGAAGGAGACAAACTGAAACAATAATTCAGTTTATCTCCTTCTGATGAGGATCATATTTCTGCACAAAGCAAACTGAGCTGGATATGATGTTCTGTATTCATTAATTTCATAAAAAAGTACAATTATTGTTTGTTTGTTTATTTATTTATTTATTTATTTATTTATTTATTTCACTTTAAATATCTAACAGCCAAGGTTTCACATCTAATTCATGTGATAAATCATTCTACCAAACAAATATTACTGGTGTACAAATATATACCACAGTAAACAATATTGTGCTGTATTACTGCATGAAGTCTTTTCTTTGACTGTGCATTGAAATACAACCAGAATGAAGCTTCTTGTTTTGAAGCATAAATTCAATGTTGATAAAAAGAAAAAGGCTAAAATTCGTTTTAGTTTCTTTATAGCACCAAGTCACAATAAACACATAAAATCCAAAAAAACAATCAAGCTGAAGAAGCCAACGGATTGCGTTGAATCTTCACTTTGTTAGTCTCCCATCCTGAGCAGCAYGTTGGCTGCAGTGAAAAGAGAAAAACTCTCCTTTAACTGGAAGAAGCCTCCAGCAGAACCAGAACCAGGCTTCTGCAGAACTTGAAGAGGTGATTGAATCACTGAATCATGTGTGTTGGAGCAGAGAAACAAGTAAAACATGCAGGCTATTCTAAGATACCTTCTTCTCTGTCAGGGTTGGTTTTAAACTGAAATCTCTCCTGAGGCTTCAGTTCTCTTCTTCTGTGATTTAAAAAAAATATGACGAGGATTCAAGAAGGAATTTATAAAAAAAAAAATGCATTTTGAAAATGTCCCTGTGCTCAAAGCAAACATGGAAATTGCAAATTCCTTATTGTTATGATGTTGCTTCAGTGCAGAAAGTCAATAAAATCAGATTTTTTCTGCAAGTTTTTAGTGAGAGTTGGTAAGTTTGTGTTGGCTGCTCTAACAGCTACAGGATAGTGAACAKAAAATAAGACCATCTCTTGTCAAAGGCAGGTTAAGTCCATCTTGAAATCCAGTTGCAGAAACAAAAACAATTTGATTGGTTTAATTTTACCAGCGTTTATTGTTTGTACGCACATTTTGTTGCTAACCATAAATCGTGCTTCATTTCTGGACCAATTAGACGCCCTGCCCGCGAACGGTGCTCTGCGTCATACGTGACATTTACCGTGTCTTGTGTTTGACAGACGAGCTGACGGTGAACGGTCAGTACCAGTGCCTGGCAGAACTGTCCACCGACCCAGTGACCGTGTGCCACGGCACCGGCATCTCCTGCAGCAACGCTCACAAYGACGCAGCTCACAGCGCGCTGCAGTACATCAAAATCATGGCGTCCGGCAAATGAACACACGGCACGGGCCGTCACGTCCGAAACAATCAGCTGTCACACCGGCTCCAGGATTTAGGTTTTAGTTTTGATTTTACCACACAGTTTATCCATTAACTTCCTCAAACAGAAAGTATATTCAGAAAAGATGGAAATAGTCTTAAAAATATCCATATTTGCTTCATTTATCTCATCATACCTTTTATTTGTTTGTATCTTTATAACTGAGGTCACCACCCAGATTACATAAACAGTAAAAAAGGCTTTTTTCTATTTTACCAAAACTGGAATTAATTTTACCAAATAAACTCCAATCATTGCACAAACATTTACTATGAATTTGCAGATGTTTTTAAAAAAATCCCACGATAGATGAGTACAAAGAGTCAAAATAGAAACTTTGTGGGAATATGAGCTCGTCATAATGAGGAGCTGCGGTTTAAAATCAAGTTTTATTTTTCTGATGCACATCATGGAGAAGCTCTTCTATAATGGACTTTGTTCAGCTTTGACTTGATGAGGACACGTCTGGTAGAGGAAATCGGAGCACAGTTTAGAATACGATGCTTTTTTATGTTTTTTTTTTTCATTGTTGCTTTAAATGTTTTTGTTAGAAAGTAATAAAGTTTTTTTTTTACATATATAGAATTACAGTAGATTTAAGGGTGGTATATTGTGTGAAAATGGCATTTAAATTCAAAACAGAAGTTTTTTTATTGATTTATTTATTCTTCTTCATCTGTCAGAAACAATCTGCAGTTTAACCCTTTTGTCACTGATTGTCTCACTCCTGAAATAGACATGTGCCGTTTACAATTGGCCCTTTTCTTGCCATGTGCCTCGTTGTGTGAAAAAATCCAATGATTTATGATTTATTTACCAATTATTCCTGGATTGTTATAGAAAGTCATCCTTTTTGGCCATTGAAGACAGAACTGTAAGTTTAAATTCATGAAATAAAGTCAAATTATCACTGGAGATTGTTGCTGTCTGTTTTTGTTGTAAGGAATCCATAGTTGTTGCTTYAGTTTAGTGTCACTGGTATTAAACTTTATTAGTAATGATGTGACTGTGTGAGCTCCTCCTAGTAAAAAAAATATTCTGTTATCAATATAAGAAGCTGACAAATACAAAAGTTTTTATTGGTACCTTTTAAAAGTAATTTTGATTATATACTAAAATGGTCTGCCATACCTCCTGGCAATTATGGACCTTCAACATACAGACAAAACATCTGAAATGAGCAAACAAAATATTGTTTTAATATTATTTTATAGCAAAAGATTTTTTTCACTGTCCACATTAAAACATCAGTTCAATACAAATTTACTAACTGACATTAGAAACAGGTCGTTGTGTAAATAAGAACTTTTATTATCTTATAATAATCTGTTCATGTAAAAATGTCATTGAGGAAAATAATGACCTCATCTGAGTTATTTAATTTGTCAAAACACACAAATGTGCAAAAAATGAAAACATGAAAAATCACAGATGATAATCATCCTTTGACAGTGAGGTTTGTATTTTCTGTCCATCGTCTGAAACACAGAAAGGGTTTTTCATTTGGGTTCAGTCTTCAAGGTTGTGATGTGGCCTCTGCGTCTCACTCTGACTGTGAGCTTCGCCCAGGAGTTCGCTCTGGAGCTGTTGAGCCAGAAGGACTCTGCAGGAGACAAAACAACCATCATCCTTTCATCATCAGGGTTCATTAAATACATTTAATATGAGAAGTTAGTGATGGGACTAAAAGCTTTGTTTTGTAGCTTCTTGGCTCATTTTTAAAAGACAGATCCTCACGCTCATATCAACAATGATGACTTCACCCAAACACCATGGAATGCTCAGCTGTAGCTGCATGAGAACCACAAGACAACTCTCCTGATGCTGACGGGCTGCATCCTAGGATGACTAGAACCAGACTGACGAGACGCTCCAAGGTTTTCACCAAGGAGCATCTGTCTCCTCTGCACAGCTGGTCCACCATCCCAGACTTTAGGAAAGTTCAGGACATCAGGAAGGACTTTTATTTAAAAATATATGTCAAACTTCTACTTTTTATCTTCTTCCTGCTGCACAATGTAAACAATTATTACACAGAGGTGCAGTCATGTCTAAAAACTGCAACAAAATATTCTGTCATATCGATTTTAAGCTTTTTTTTTCCATCATTATTTAGTATTCATATTTCTGGAACTGGAGTCTTGTTTCAAATATTGTGTTTATTTGTAAAATAGTAGGTTTTAAATAGGTTCACATTTTTACTAAATCAATGCTAAAAGCAATTTGTGAATAGATTTGTTTATTTCAAGGGATATATTCTAAATTAAAGAACAATTCAGTGTGATGCTTTATAT